TCTGAGACCCCTTGTGGCCAAGAGCATAGTGACTAAGAACCTGGGCTCCAAAGCCAGATTGGGTTTGAATCCTGACTGCTCTACATCTTAGCTCTGTAATCTAGGGCAAGTCACTTAAACTTGCTGCTTCTCAGTTTCCTCATCTGTAAAATGGGATCATGCTAATAGCTATGTCATACAGGTGTGACGAGGATTAAATAAAAAATAAAGGTAACATTTACAGTGGTGACTCACAGTAAAGCCTCTGTCAACGGTAATAATTATTACTAACAGCCTCTTTTAGAGACAATAATAATAATAATAATAAAGAACAGAGAGCAAAGTAAATTTTTAAGTGATGGGGATGAGAATCAAGCCCAGCTAGTCCTTCTAGAGAAGCTGGGTGTGCAACCACCCTGCCTCACTGCCTTGTGTCAATTCAGAGGAACAAGGTAAAGACAGAGCGCCAAGGTGAGGGGGACAGAAAAGCAGAGGACAGAAAGGGGGTTCGGATGCAACAAGCACACAGCCAGGAGGCCCTGGAGACTGAACTTCCATGTGGTCCTGGCAGCCCAGATTCAACCCCCCAGCAAAAACAGGTTTTCTAGATGGGACATGACGACTGTGCCCCCAAACCTCAGGGCTTTGCTGCAAAGTCATCACTGTGGTCAGAGCCATGCCTCAACGTGCAGGCTCAAGAAGTGACATCAGGAGGTCACTGGACCTAAACTTCGTGAGGTGGGGCTGCCGAGGATGCAGCAGTGGTAACAGCTAAGAGATGTTCAGTGATTGCTCTATGCAAGGCACTGCTCTAGGTGCTCTGTGCTTCAACTCAATCTTCACCCACACCCTAAGAAGTCAGTTCTAGATCATTCCCATTCTGTAGGTGAACACATTAAGGCACAGAGAGGTCAGATCACAAGGTCACACAGCAAGCAGGTAAGTCACAGAGCCAGGAATGGAACCCGGGTCCTCTGGCTCCGGAGACCATATTCTTAAATCTCCAGGATCTATAATACCCAGTCAGGCTGGTCTCAGAAATGAGTGGATAATTTCTTAGGCCTTGAAACTTCCATTTTTGTCACTGGATCCCTAGCCTGGACAACAAAGTATATGTAGAACAGTCAACTAAAAGGCTAGGAGTGGAAAAACTATCAGATGATCCCAAATTGACAGGCATGTTACAAAATAACCAATCAGTCCTCCTCAAAAATGTCAAGGTCACGAGAGACAAGGGAAGACCTAAGCAACTGTCATTGGGGAAGGAGACAGAGAACTAAGTGCAATGTGGGATCCTGGATTGGATCCCAGAACAGAGAGAGGACCTTAGTGGGAAAACTGGGGAAATCCAAATGAGTTCTAAGTTAACTATATCGGAGCAGGGTTAATTTCTTGGTTTTAACCAATGTTCTATGGTTGTGTGAGAAGTGACCATTACAGGAAGCCGAGTGAGGGGCACCCGGGAACTTTCTGTCTTATTTCTGCAATTCCTCTTTTAAGTCTAAAATTATCTAAAAAAATTTTTTAAATTCAGTGTTGAAAAAACAAACTAAACATTCAAATGACAGGAGGATCAAAACCACTGACATTCTCAGTTTAGAAACTAATGCGTTGGTCTTTGTAATTATATTGTTTCCACCTATGTATGTGAATAAGTATTCATCTTGATTTGACATCAAATCTGTTTTAAATTGTGAATAACAACAACAACCAAAAAAGCTGGCAGCATTTCAATTTAGAAGCCTGGGTCAGCTTCAGAAGAACAGATTACTTCCATGTGCTTTAAGATGTGACTCTATTGTCTTTCCCTCGGACTTCAAATCCTCAGAGATGCTATTCTACAAATCTATTCGACACCCACACATCGATGGCTGCTGGCCAGGAAAGGCTTGGATCACTTGGAGATTGAAGGAACTACTTTGCAGGCAGGGGTGAGCTTCCAGAAATGCAGCACGTTTGGCACACACACACCAAGTGGCAAGCCAGGGAGACACAAGGGTCTTCATGAGAGTCAGGAGGGCTGGTAGCCAACAGGGTAAAGGAGAAACAAAGGCATGGTTCCCGCTAACTCTGTGCAGGGCAAGGCAGCAAACATTCTGCCTGCATTAGCTCATTTAATCCTCTCCACACTATGGACCAGATGCTCTACGATCAGATGCTCTACATCCATGGCTCCATCTGATCAATACCGAAGGGGCGTGGTTACCAACTCCATATGCAAATGAGGTCACTCTGGCTCAGAAAGGTTGCCTAGGGGCTCCTGGGTGGCTGAGTCCTTAAGGGTCTACCTTTGGCTCAGGTCATGATCTCAGGGTCCTGGGATCAAGCCCCACATAGGGCTCTCTGCTCCGCGAGAAGCCTGCTTCTCCCTCCCCCTGCTTGTGTTCCTGCTCTCGTTAACTCTGTCAAATAAATAAATAAATAAAAATCTTAAAAAAAAAAAAAAAAAGAAAGGTTGCCTAACCAGAAGGCTAAGTGGCTGCACCAGAATGGAAGCCCAGATCTTCATCCTGCATCCAAGGAAGACTCATATGGTAAAAAAAAAAAAAAAAATCATCAAGCAGCTAAGAAGACATGAACCTCCTCTCAGGGACCCCTGAAATTAACCCTCAAAGACAGGCCGGAGGGGGCGTATTCATGCAGGTTTCGCCCCTGTCCAGCTGATTTTGCCTGTCACATTTATCAAATCTAGATCATTTAGGCCCCAAACAGGTAGAGTAAGTTTTTGTTTATTGGTCGGTCTTTTTTGTTTTGTTTGTTCCACTGGTTTTCTTTGGTTTTTGACCTCAGTCATCTCTTTTGGAGACCTACATGATCTAAATGATCTAGGAAACTGCAAATATCCCTTCCCTTTATTCCAATGTGGGTTTTTCTTTAAGAAACCCAGGTTCCCAGGCTGTTTCATGACATGGGCATTTTTAAACGAAAACACCTGTGCAGGGGCACACGAAACTTCCCTTAGTAGTTTCAGCCAGAAGAATAAAGCCACATCGAACGAGGCGAGCTCCCCTGAATCCAACCCGAGGCCACTGGTTTCACACTTGGAAATAGAATCAGTAATACCACTGCCTCCCACCCCCAAAACACATTCCAGTCCCAGTTTAGGATTCCACAGTCTGGAAGGAAAAGCAATATGTGAATTTAGGAAAGGACAGAGTCCCCAGATCCTAAAACGTAGGCTCGAGTGGAAAGGACCTGATGCTTTTGCACAGTATTACTTCAGGGACTTATTATTCTGAAACACTGTCCGGATGATGACACACCAGACACTCGGGGGATGCTGCCTCCTAGGAAGACCGCAATCTTAAAGCAGCTTGCTGCTGCCCATCACGCATCTTCCATCAAAGGCAGAGGAAAGGCCAAAAAAGGAGGACATTAACGCTGACTGACCCGAAGCAGTCTGAAGTTGTCACACACCTGGTCTGGTTTGTGAAAAATCTTTCTCTCCAAAAGAGCTCCCCCTTCCCATTCACATGGGCCATTTGTGTCTTTATGAGCAACTCTAACAGTCCACTTCTTTTCCATGAAGTTTAACCACTGAGCATAAAATAAGAACCTTTCAAATGTGTTCAAGAAGGCCCGGGGCGGGGGGTGGGCAAAATGGGTCTTTGCCTGTAACGGAATCTCTTCGTGGGACTGATAAATGGTGTGCTTTGGATTTACTGCTCACAAAACCCCCAAAAGCGTAAAAGGCAAGCTTGTGTCCAAACAAATACACAACCTGTGGCTCTCTTCAATCCAACGGTGTTCAAAGTCAGGTCTGATGGATGCAGTTGACAGCTGGTCTTGGAAAGGGCGCATAGCCAACCTGGCTAGTTGTAGCCGTGGAAGGAGCAGGGGGGGATGGAGAGATAAATCTGTAGCCCCACTGTTTGTGGATTAAGTGCGTTAGAATCTGTGACACAGAGAACAGCCTGGCACACAGAAAGCGCTATAGAAATGTCAGCTCCTGTTACGGCTGCTATTATTATTACTAACACCGCAATTACAGCTGCCTAGATTCACAAAACTATTCAAAGCCTCTGCCACATTTAGGCAATCCCACTGAAATAAACAATGCAGGTTTTTTTTAAAGAAGGCAGGCACGGAATCCTGGATGAGCAAACTCCCACCCACAAAGAGCAAGGCGCCCCTGCCTCTGACATGTTCCTTGGGACAGACCACCTAGCAATTTGGGAGCTTAGAAGCCTTCACTTAAGGCTTGAGAAGGTGCCAAGGACTTTCTTGGAGAGCCAGTTTAGAGAGAGACATTTGATCGCGTTTTCCAATGAGAAGCATATGTCCAGGGTACATACGCTTCCTCCACTCACGTATGGATGGAAACAATGCTGAGTACATTCTGTCCCAAGAACTTACTCATGCTTACCCTACAAGGCTTAACTTTTTAATTTAAATCCCAGAATCCTGCCATAAAACCAGCCAACTGAAAAGTTGCTTGAGAGCAACTTCTGGGCAATCTATTCATCGCGTGGCAATCCCCAATAGCTAAAACAAATGTTCCCTGTAGTCCACACGTCCATAGAGTTGCTTAAAAAAAAAAAAAAAAGCTGTGTATTTTCTTTCTCCTTTCCATGATCATCACGAGGGACATCTACTAGATTTCACTTAAGCACCAACAGCAAAAGACTACTTGCATGCTTAATGACAAGGTTCATTACCTTGTTAAGGAGACATCTGATTTCTGCAGGCAATCTTTAAAAGGTCACATCTGTAATGACTCACATATTTTCATAACCCGTCTACTGTTATCATTTAATCCCTTGGCCAGGTTCCAAAAAACTCAAGTGCTCATGGGTTTGATAAGACAATCAGCGCCAGGCAGGTCCCCATAGTGTTAGACACAGGGCAGATGAAGCCAACTCGGCTCCATGAAATGGGACACCTCCTTGAAACAAGAAAACCTCGATTCCCTGGATGGCTCAACTGCACCTAAGAATTCCACGGAAAGGGCACTGATTTTTGCTTTGCCTTTGAAAAGCCACCCTGGGTTGTGGCCCTGGGGCTCATTTGTCAGCACTAACCTTCTCCGGATATGGTCCTCAGGCCTCTTCACGGATACATACGTGAGCGTTATTCTAGGTGACCTCCTGTTAAAGGGTTTTATTTTAAATCCCAGCTAATCTTGGCTGCTCCCTGGACTGGTCTGATCTCTTGCCACATCCTAGTTCAGGTCTACGGCAAGCTGCAAAAACACAGTGGGAACAAGTTTGGAGTCTGTCTCCCTCTTTCCCTTTCTTCCGTCAGTTCTGTTCCATCAACAACACTTTCTTTCTCCTCTGCATAAACAGCAGCATAGGTAAGCCACAACGAAAAGTAAAAAATAAAGAACAGAGCCGCCGCGCGAGCCGATGGCTCTCTCCGCAGCGGCGGTGCTAAGGCGGTTCGGAGAGCCGGACGGGATGTGCCCGCGCTTGCGCACACAGCGCCTCGCTGTTTGTTTTGAGTGCCTCTGGGTATTTTTAGAGTCTGCAGGGAGAAGTTGAGCTGCACAGGGTGGCTGATAGGCTACTAATGACCCCCTAAGCTTAAAGAAGCGGGCTTCCCAGCAACTGCTGAAGCTTCAGGTGATGAAAAGCACACTTGACTTAAAAATCACCCATATGTGGGGGCAGAGGTGGAAAAGACAAGAAAAAAGTCCTTGATAAACCAAGCTGGAAATGAGCATTGCAGAGCACGGGTGTAAGGCAACTAATTGTAAGATACTTCGGAGTTTGTGATAGCCCTATAGTTCCCTTCCTTTTTCCTTCCTCCCTCCCTCCCTTCCTTCCTTTGCCCTCTTTTCTTTGCTTTTTGTCTTTCCAGCATCTCTTTGGGGAACCACCCCTTCCAGTGGCTCCGCAGAGGTGAACGCAGGGACCCAGACCTGGCCAATCAGACAAGCCTTTCCTACGGTGGCCAGCCCAGGAATGGGGGTGCGACTCCTGCGAAATCCAGCTCAAGACACGGTTCCCTGGGCCTTTTCCTGGGAGCAGCAGAAAGGAGGTACTTCTTATTGCTGGCATCATTACCTGTGAGGATGCTGTAAGCCTCGAGCTGCAGGACACATTGGTCCCTGAAACAAGGATACCCAGGAAAGCCCAGCCAAGAGGTGGGAAGGGAAAGAGCATCTCAAGGACAACATCTGAGCCCTCTCTCCTGCTCTGTCTGCAGCCACTGAATCCCTAGAAATCCCAGGGACCTGAGCCAATGAAGTTCCCCCCTTCTTTACCTTTGAGGAAAGCACCCAAAAGAATCTTAATACAGAGCGAGCTCTAAATGTGATTTTTTTTTTTAAATGCCAGAGAGATGTTGAAGTAGAAGCCATAAGCCTATCTAGTCATGCCCACCTTGCTGAAGAGGACACCGGCCCCTCAGCAAAGGCCCCCAAACTGCCCTGGTTTGCTTCAGAAAGCAGACGGGAAATTCCAAGATGATCCTCCTTTGTCCTTCAGGAAGATAAAGTGTAACATTCATTCCTCATAAATGTCACATGGCACCCTTTAATTTCTTGTCTTTCCCAAAAAAGCAAAACTTCCCCAGTGGTTTGCAGGGTCCTCCGCAGTGCATGAGCCCTGATCTCTCACCACATGATCCCCTCCCCACAGTCATGTTGATGCTGATAAACATAATGAACACGGAATAGTCCAATGCCCTGCACAAAGCAGCCATCACACAAGCAGTTAAACTTTTACTTACACAGTCTGAGTAAACCCTCACAACAACTTTGTGAAGCAGGAACTAAAACATGCCCATTTTATAGATGAAGATATTGAAGCTCAGAAAGACTGAGTGCTGTGCTGACACACAGCAAGTCAGAAGGAGAGTCAGGCTTCAGACTCAACTCTATGTAGCTGTGAAGTTGGTGTTCAACCACTGTGAATGGCTCCCTTTCCATGGAATTGCCCGCTGCTTGACGGACCTTTACCTCCCGTTTACCTCTCACACTGTGTTTTCCCTCCTGGCCTGTCAGCCTCTCTATATTTCCACTTCTGCAAAGTTCCTGCTGAACCTGTTCTGTGTCTTCTGATCCTCATGTGTTCATTTCTCCATCATCCCAACTGGGTGATTCTTCACGACCAGCTACATCTTGGTTTCATTAACCCTTGCTAGAATCATGAATCCATTTGTCAGGAAGAAGATGCCCTATAATTCCAAAAGCCCAAATCTTAAGTTTTCCCATTTCTCCTAAAAAGCAGAAGATGAATGGCTTGCAGCATGCTTCAGACGCTTACTGTTACTATTTCCAGCTCTTCAGGAGTGAAAAGAACTTAGATGTCCTTTTGAACCTGATTCTGAAATCTGATTCTGCTTTCTCCACCCAAATATGACAAAAGTTAAAAGCCTCCAACCACCTAAGGAAATTATCAAACATATATGAAAAAAATGTATATACAAAGTTGTGCAAGACCATGTGGCTTATGACAGTGAAATGTCAGAAGTAAGTAAATGCCCAGCAAAAAGAGATTGGTGTCAATGTCTGGTTAACTATGATTTTAAAACACTCAAAGCAATGAAGTCATTAGAGTTATGTCAAGAAAGAATAGAGTGGGAAAAAGAAAAAGAAAACCTGACACAATCCTCAATGAAAAGTGCAGACTTTAAAATGTAGATTTCCACAAAAATAACAAATCACATAGATTGAAAGGACATAAACTAAAATGAGAACCAGAATGGGATTATGAGTGATCTTATTTTTTGTTTAGATTTTTGCCTTGTGCCTTTTGGATTGAAAGGTGTCTGTTGTTTGTTTTGCTTTGAGCAACACTATTTTTCTAACCCTTGTTATGAAAGAGAGCAGCAGCCTGAAGAAAAAGTTGACAAGGATTAAGGAGATGATGTCACTGGGGTCATCAGAGCAAAGGGCCTGTGAGCTGGGGAGGGAGGCCGGACTCTGGAGTCAACTGCCTGGGGCTGGATTCAGGCTCTGCTGCTCACAGGCTGCATACCTGAGCAAGTTACTTAACTTCCCTGTGCCTCAGTTTCCCCACCTAGAACAGGGATGATAATAATCATGCTGCCCTCGTGGGGTCATTCTAAATGTCACATGAACTAACATACATGAAGCATTTATTTTTTTTTAAAGATTTTATTTATTTATTTATTTGAGAGAGAGAGAATGAGAGAGAGAGAGAGAGCACATGAGAGGGGGGAGGGTCAGAGGGAGAAGCAGACTCCCTGCCGAGCAGGGAGCCTGATGCGGGACTCGATCCAGGGACTCCAGGATCATGACCTGAGCCGAAGGCAGTCGCTTAACCAACTGAGCCACCCAGGCGCCCTACATGAAGCATTTAAAACAATGCCTGGCAGAGTATGTTCTGTACACACTGTTGCTCTCTTTACGGTATAAACCACTTAAAAGTAAGCACCCTGTCTTATTCCTTTGTCACACCTATCAAAGGGCCTGATGCACAGTGGGCGCTTGATCAATGTCTGTTGAATGTGCCCAGTAAGATTCCAGAGGGCAGTGCTAGTGTTCTGAGAAGCGGCCACCATGATACCCTCTCACACGTGACATCTCCCTTCACACCAGACCCACCGAGTTTCTTAGGGCTGAAGGGAAGGCAGCCGTCCAGTGGCTTGTTTGGAGCACCACCAGTTAACGGGATAAAAGGGCCTGCTGATGGGCGCCTGGGTGGCTCAGTCTTCAGCTCCGGTCATGATCCCACGGTCCTGGGATCGAGTCCCACATCAGGATCCCTGTTCAGTGGGAAGTCTGCTTCTCCCTCTACCCCTCCCCCCTGCTTGTGTGCTCTCTCTCTCTCTCTCTCATGCTCTCTCTCTCTCTCAAATAAATAAAATCTTAAAAAAAAAAGGGGGGGGCCGTTGAGAAACTGTATTACCACAACCCAATAAAGTTTAGCAATGATCCACCATCTTCCTCCACTGTCCTACTCAGGAGTTATCTGGTTGCTTAAAAGAAAAAAATGCACTTACACGAAACAAAAAAGGAGAACATGGTATCATGAGGTACAGAAATCTCATGGGATCCAAGAACAAGAAACAAAATAATAATAGAAGCTCTTTTGTCAAATGCAGTTTGGACCAGTGGTTGGATGACCGGTCAGGTCGAGCCAGGAATGATTTTTTGAAAGGATAGCGTAATACTATAAATATTTTAACAGAAATGTGTAAAAACATTTATTTGTCAAACCCTGGATGACCTCAGATCCCATGTGGAAGATGATTTTTCTCATCCATGTGGCTTACTCCTGGTTTGGCGGAATTCTGACCTCATCCTTAGAATCCTGTGAGTTTTAGAAAAGTATTATATAGATAAGTGAACAGGACCCTCCTCCTTCTCGAATAAGGAAGACCAACCCAGAGGCCATCTGGACAGCATATGGGCATAACTCAAAAAGACAAGTACATGTTGCATCCAAGAACCCTAAACAAGTCTCCGACAGTTTCAGCTTTAGGCCCAGTGGATTAGAGAACACTGATTCGACGCTGAAGCTCGCTCGCTTGCTGAGTTATGTATCCATACACGCCACTGTGCCATAGTCCTCACTGTCCCAACTTCCGGACGTTCAGATTTACCAACCTGGGGAGAAAAACACCATCACAGAAGTTTGGCCATTTATCTGCTGGTGCTATTAGAAAATTATACAAAGAACTGAGGACTTGAACCACAGAATTGGAGGGATATAAAAGGATTTTTAAAACTTAATCATCAACCTCATATTTTACATATGGAACAAGGGGAGAAAAAGCCTGGAGAGGTCAAGGTGATATGCCATGGCCAGGAAGCCCCCAGCCACAGAGTCTCAGGGCAACACGGCTTTCCCTACTCTCCTGTGAGCCAAACAGCCAACCGTCTGCCTACAGACAGGCGTTCAGTCAAATTTTCCAGAAATATGTCATTTATACAAGGATAAACTAAAAAAGTATGACAATAAAAATTTACCCACATACTGAGTGGTTGACAAGGTCATACCATATGTGGGCCTCAGAGTAAACTAATGAGAGTGAGATAGAAATATCCAGAAACGAAAGCTCTCCCCTTCACTCCTTTCTAACTTGTAACTTAGGCGAGTAAATCTCCCAGCTCAGACCATCCCTGCCCTCCCCTCTATAAATTAGGAAGCTTGTTCAACAGACAGAAGTAGAATCACACTTGAGGGCCTACAATATGACAAACGTGTCACAGATTGGTTCTCATTTCAGCCTCATTCAGGGAAAATCCGATTGTCTCTCCTTCCTCAGACGAGCCAGCTGAGGCTCAGAGAGGTCAGGCATTTCTCCAAGGTCACA